TCCCCCCCCCTCCCCCCCCCCCCCCCCCCCCCCCCGTGGCCTCAGGCTGCCACTAATCTACTTTCTGTCTCTATGAATCTGCCTTTTCTGGACATTTCCTATAGACATGCTTTGTGGTCTTCGTGTATGGATTCTTCATTTAGCACCATCTTGTTGAAGCTCACCCAGGTTGTAGTATGCATCAGTACTTCATTGCTTTTTATTGCTAAAGGGTATTCCAGCCCATAAATGGACCACATTTAATTTATCCATTGACCAGTTGATGGGCATTTGGGTAGTTTCCACCTTTTAGCTACTGTAAATAACGCTGCTATGAACATTCATGCCCAAGTCTTTGTGTAGACATGTCTTTTTATGTCTCTCGATAGGTAACTAGAAATGTAATTATTGGGTCATGTGATTAATCTACCCTGAACATTTTAGGAATCTACCAAGTTGTTTTTCCAAGTGGCTGCACCACATTACAGTACCTCCCACCAATGTATGAGGGTTCAAGTTTCTCCACATTCTTCAGAGGGAGAGGGAGAGAAAGAGAGAGAGAGAGAGAGTGAGAGAGAGAGAGAGAGAGACTAAACTCTCTTAAACATCTGTTGTGATTCTCCACAGAATTTCTTACAATGGTGTTGACTAATGTCCCCTCCTCCACGAGAGAAAGGGACCGAGGCAGGGACCTGTTTGTCACCGTATTCTAGCACCTAGCTCAGTGCCTCGTACGGAGTAAATCTTTCCTGAATGTATGGATTTTAAAGATGGATGGCGGCAGTCAGACAGGTGGAGCAGGTGGATGCCAATAGATTACCTTGGAAGCAATAACACAGGTGGGAAAGTGAGAACACAGAAGAGAAAAGACCAAATAAATTTTAATAGTTTATAACTCATTGAGCAAATGTGAGTGGTGCTCTTTGATCTAATAAATTGTCCTATAATGGCAGCTTCTGAGGACCAGAGCGGGAGGGAGCAGGTGGGCTCGCTGTTCTGCGCAGGGTGGTGAGGTCAGCTTCGAGCGAGGAGATTGATGGCGCACTCTGGACCATCAGGGACATCTGTGGAATCTCTTTCCCCGAGGAGGGGAGTTTCATTTCTGTGATGTCCTTGGTATCCCACTGGGAGACAGTCAAATGGATCTCTGGGTTTTCTCTCTCATTCCTATTGGTTGATGGTAAAGCCCCCCGCCTCTTTTTCCCTTTTGCTGGATTTAGGTGATTCATCATTTCGTGTGCGCTGTGATCATTATCTGTGAAGGTGTATTTCCCTGCATTCCCAACAGTCCCCTCTCTCCATCAGGTACCAGAGTAACACTGCTTCCGCTGTTCTCGAAACAATTACCAACATTCAGCCCAAGGAGAGTGGAGGAGGAGTGGGCGAGACCCGGGAAGCCATTGTCTACAGGTTGTCAGAAGACATGCTGAGCAAGCTGCCCCCAGATTACATTCCACACGAGGTGAGCTGCACCTCCCCCACCTCCAGGGTACAGGGCCGCCCGGGGGCTCCACAACGCCCAGCGAGCTCAATGCCCCGATGGTATGTTTCAGTCCCTTCCCTGTCTGCTCATCCCTTCTTCACTGTCAGCTGTTCTTTCCACCCTTGGTCTTCTCTGCCTTGCCTTTCTCAGCATCGTGCAGATTATGGTCTGCACTTTCTCTGACACCTTTCTCCACTTGCCTTCTGCCCCACTTTCTCTCTCAATCACCTTCTCTCTACCCTTTTCGCACCTTTGGATTCCCAGAAATCTTAACCCTCTAGGCTGGAAACCTCTCCCTCCCTCTCTTGCCTAAGCCTGCTTTGTCCAGCCTGAAATTTGCCCCTTGTTCTTGCCCCCTGCCCTCCACACTTGTCATTTTCCAGTCCTCTCAGCCAGGTGCTAGGAAAGCAAGCGATGAAAGTGAACTCACACCCCACGTTGGATGGCAATAACTTTCTACTTCTTGGACCTCCTAGGTGCTTGCTTGTTAATCAGTTTTCCTCAAATGCTTTACCTCAGGACCCCTTTACAAAATGACGGAGGACCAGGAATAGCTTTTTTTTTTTTTTAATGTGGGTAAACTGCTGATGTTTAATATATTAGAAATTTAAACTGAGAAATTTCAAAAATATTAACTTATTATAAAGTGACAGTAATAAACCCATTATGTATTAACATAAATGACTTTTTAAACATTTTAAATCGATCTTATAGAGAGAGAAAGGAAGAGGGAGAGAGAAAGAGAGAAACATTGATGTGAGAGAAACATCGATTGGTTGCCTCCCATACACTCCCTGACTGAGGATTGAACCTGAAACCTGGGTATGTGCCCTGACCAGGATTTGAACCCACAGCCCTTCAGTGCAAGGATGAGGCTCAAACCAACTGAGCCACACCAGCCAGGGCAAATGGCATTTTTACTTAAAAAATAAATATAATTTTCAAAACAGGAAAGTGCATGGAAATGAGTGGGCGTGTTTTAATTTTGCCAATCTCTTTAATATCTGGTTTAATAGAAGACAGTGGGGGTCCCATGCCTGCCTCTGTGCTCAGTCAGCTGAGAGAGCAGGTCGCAGCCCTGGAAAACTCCTCTGTGCACGCCTGAGACAAGCCAGCGTCCCTGTCGCTGTGAAAAATTTCACCCCGTCGATCCCCTGAAAGGATCTCAGGGGAACTCAGGGGACCCCAGACCACACTGTGAGAACTACTGATCTAGATAAATGTTTGTGCTAAAGTTTCCGGATGGTCTGAAAGTTCTGTAAGAGATCCTCCAACCTGGCCTCCTGCTTCGTCCAAGGGGGCAGTTGTGTCCAGGGTGTCCTCGCTGTCTTGGCTTCCACCCAGCTGTGCCGATGTCAGAGGCCGCCTGAGTCCTGGACCGGCTGCGTGGAGGCTGATGCCCTGTGCAGGTGTAACTGTGGCCCTGCCTGCATCCCCACGCCTAAGAAAATGCGCTTGTCGGCTGGGAGCCCCTCGCCCTCCCACCTGTGATGAGTGCCCAGCAATGAAAAATCGTTTTCTTGCCTCTTGAAACGATTTGTTTCATCATGCAGATGAGTGCCAAGACACTTGGCCATGACTCTGAAATCAATGGCTTCACATAGAGATAGTGCTAGCAAGGCGAGAACATATTTTTTTAATGAGTCAATATTTTAAGTACCGGAGGGACTTTCAATGGTTCACTGGAAGTGATCTTCAGAGGACAGACGAGGGTAGTACCTGCCTCCAAAGGTGGTACAAACCGGCCTGTGAAAGAGAGACACTTACTCTGTATGACTGGACCACAGGCTGACGCAATGGGAGGAGGGTCTCAAGGTTGTGGGGTAACGTGAGGTTCAGGGTTAGCCGGGCACTTCACCAGGATCTCTGTTCAGCCACCTCCTAGCAGCCGGGGGTGGGGGGTGGGGGGAAGGGACGTCACTATATATGGAGGTCACATGGGGGGAGTTAGTGCTGAAGGCATCTACAGTCACTTCCTCTCTCAGGGTCACTTCCTTTCTCGTGTTCTTTGCTTTACGGAGGAGATGCGCTCTGAGATGTGGTGGTGACGTGACGTTTGTAAACAGAAATATAATCACAGTGTTGACTTCCCCAGTGAAAACGAGCCCGTGACTGCCCGGTCTCACAGACACTGGAAATCCCCCACGAGACTCCAGCAACTCTTTCATTTCTTAATGAAAAGACAGTTTAGGCTGGAACAATAATCATAGTCAGAATAAAATGAGTACCAGCATCGGATTTTCCAGGGCTAAGTGTTCCCTAAGCCTGTCTCTGCTGTGTGAAGTTTCTCTTTTGAGCCCTCAGCGGGGTGAGGCCATTGGTTTGGGGCTGCTAGCGAACTAAAAGTGACTGAGCTATTGCTCTGACCTTGTAACCAATACCTGCGCTTTATTTCCCCTTAATGGGCTTGCAAAGGTACAGTTCCTCATTGTCCCTTTCCCTTAAGTGTGACCTCCACAGGGTAGTCATGATGTGAAGGGGATGCTATATAAGCTATTCGGCCACTGGAGGCTGAAGGGCTGGAGATGAGGACAGGCTAGAGGAGCCTGCAAAAACGGAAGTTCTAGAACAGGAATTTAGGAGAATGCCAGGAGGCTAGGGACCTCCGCCGGCACATGCGATGGGGGGTTCGGTCTTCCTTGCTGCCAGCAGGGCCGTGCAGGCTGCTCAGTTCACAGCTGCTTCCCTCTGAGTCTGTGCTCACCTCCACCCTGGCTTCCTGGAAGGGCGTGGAGTCTGCCCAGGCGGGACTTCTGTGCCATGAGAGAGGGTCCCGTAAGATGAGGGCGTGGTCTGGTGCCATCCGTCCCTCACATTCCGTGACTCGGGACAGGCAGTGTGCACCTCCAGCCGAGGACCCCACGGCTCCCCGCTCCCCGGTGTGTCCTTGGACAGGGCTGTCACTCTGAACTCTCTCCCTCTCTGTGGGTTTATCTTCCCCCCTGTTCTGGCAGCTCTCCCATTGCGGCCAGCGGAAGGTCAGACCTCTCTCGGAGCCCATGCCAGGATTTGTAGTCAATCTTATCTTGGGCAGATGTCACGAGATTGAAATGTGCACATGGATTGGCGTATTTTTCAATAATTGTTGGGCTTTATTGTTTCCATACCTGAGGCTTTTGTATCGGTCTCTTCAAAATGGTCAGTAAATGACGTACCAAAAGGAGCCAATGGCAGGTGCCTACCGACTTGCCCACGAAGGCACATACATATTCCCGTTGGTTAAGTTAGGAAAGCCTCGACCGGCAGGCGCCCTGGCCCAGGCCACACGGCCTCCGGGAATCCTATCCATTGGTGACTGCTCTGGAAAGATTTCAGCCGTATCTCCTGTCTGTGACATTTCTAACAGCAACTCTGCAAGAATTATGAAAAAAAAAGTATTCCAAACTGTGCTCCTACAAAGGTTAAATCGCAAAAGAGTATTTAACGGACACTTAGTCATTAATCATTTGAAAGGGAAAAGGGTGCAATTTTACTTCAGCTTCTTAAAGTCTATTTCCAATTATCAACGAAAGTACAATCAGTAGGAAAGAAAAATCGTTTTAGTTGAACAGTCATGTTTGAAGACCGGAAAATGGGGGACTTACTGGCAGGGCTGGTTCTGCAGGGGACATTGGAGAGTGTATTGGGCTGTGGAGGTGCTGCCGGAGGGCGGGGGAGAGCAGAGAGAGGGGAGGCCATCGGGAGACGGGTGACAGGCGAGTTTTTAAAATCTCCCTCCTTGTGCTGTACTTTGTTTCAGGTGAAAGCTCGCTTGGTCAAGATGGGACACCTTAACTCCATGAACATATTTCTCAGACAGGAAATCGACAGAATGCAAAAAGTGATAACAATACTCCGCAACAGCCTGAGCGACCTAAAATTAGCCATCGAAGGGACCATCATCATGAGTGAGGTGAGCAGTTGGTTCCTCAATGGTTGTTCCCTCTTTTTGTGGCTTTTCTTGCTTCTCTGCTTTAACTTCATCTTTTTTTTTTTTTACCTTCGGTCATTTTATCTTTTATTCATTTTTTTTCTTTGTTGATTAAGTTAAG